TTGGCGGGTCCGGGCTGGATTCGAACCTGCCACCCTAGGTGTATGTGGCTGGTGCCTTAGCCACTCGAGCCACAGGCGCCGAGCCAAGAAACTGGTTATTTCACAAGACACTGTGCTAGATTCTCGATTCTCCCCCCTTGGATACTAGAGGTGAAGTTCTGATTGTTCCTTCTGGAACAAAACAGCACACGCTTACCCCTCTTCCACCTGTGATCTCGTCACACCTGACAGTGCTCTTGTCTCCCACGGCTCAGAACTTCTCTAAGCATTTCTCTTAACACGTGACCTCTAGTCATTTATTATTCTCTTAATTCACCTCTAGATATCCTCTTTACTTGGTAATATGCCTCTTAAAAAGTTGTGCTGTGATTCACATGCCTGTGTGTGCCTGTATGTCTGCGTGTGTGCCTACGTACCTGTGTGTGTCTGAGTGTGCATGCGCGTGTCTACATATGCCCGTGTCTGCATGTGTGTCTGTGTGTGCATGTGCCTGGGTGTGCACGCATCTGTGTGTGTGCACCTGTGTGTGTGCTTGTGTGTCCTGACAGAACAGCCCTCCCTGGTCAGGGCATCATCAGCGCAGTGAACTCTTTCCATACAGTTTGTGGTTGTCCCACTGCATCCTTTCCCACCGTGGGGGGGCAGGTCTCCCTGGAGGATATTTGTGGCAGCTCTTCTAGTTTGGGGACCGCTGTCCGTGTTCACAGAGGGCAGCACGGTACTGAAGGTGACTGCAGCAGGGTTGAGGTGAGGCACTGTGAGCTTTATGCCAGTTCCTGGGTCCATCTTCTGGTGTTTCCTATTTTGTTGTTCCTTTCAGAAGGCGAAGGCTGCACCTGCCTCTTTTTTGGGGGGGGGTGGGGTGATTTTTTTGAGTGTTTCCCCGACCTTGGCTTGTTTGAGTTTCCCCTACGTAACAGCCGCTCCCGCTGCTTCTTGTGTGTACCTTGAGATGCTCTTCTCCTGTCTTCTGACTCAGCCTTCGCAGTCCTGAGCCCAGCAAGAGTCTTTGTGATTTCTGAGTGGCCCCACCCCTGTCTTGTTGGGATTTCAGCTTGTGACTTCTGGTTGTGGAATCGATGCTGAAGTCTGAATCTGCATCCCTGCAGTTTCAGCGGGTCCCACCGTGTTCTCTGCTTTTCTTTCTGTGCAGTTACGTGCTCTGGAGTGAATGATCACTTTCTCCTAAATTTCTGTGCTCTAGAGTGAAATATCACTTTCTTCTAAATTTTGTCATCTGTTTTGTTGATTTTGTTCTAATTAGCAGTTTCTCTTTTAATTTTCTTCTCAAGAGAAAGAGAAGTGATTTCAGTAAGAAAAGGAAATCAATTTATGAGATACATTAAGCCTTTGAGTAATACTCTCAGCAGGTGTTAGGGTAGCTGGAATTGTCAGCCTCCTTCCTGCTGGTTCCTGCATCAGTTGACATGAAGCCTGCTGCCCTCCCCCAGGCCTGTGTGGTCTGTGAGGGTACGCCCACTGCGGGGATGTCCATGAGGGTATAGCCACTGCGGGGATGTCCATGAGGGT